CGCCTATCTAGGAAAGTGTAGCTGATATAGTGAATATACTCTTCAGGAGAAGGCCTTCCTGACACCAAACTTAGCCCTTTTTCAAACACGCGCGTAAAACTCATGCTATAGGGGCGCAGTTACTTTGAGGTCTTGTATGTTTTGCTTATGCCCATACTACAAAAAATTTAGCACGGCGTTAAAGAAAAACGGTAAGCCTACGTAAATCCCTTTGGCTACAAGGCGAAAAAAATGTTCTTACCCTTTTCCTGTTATTCTTCTTAAACCGCTTTCACGGGATTTCTCCCTAGTAGGTTGATGCAAAGTCTGAAAAATCCCACGTTAAACGAGACTTTTTCTGGGCATTCTGGGTTAATTTATACTACCGCAATTCCCAGATTGATCGATGGGAGTTAATTTCTCCCTTCTCACTCTGTGACAGGCGTTTTCCGTTGCGGTCCAGCCTCCGTAAACGCAGTTAAGAACGGCGAGGTGTATCTCCCTTATGACACAGGCTTTGTTTTTGCCGAGGTGAATGGCGATCGCGTGTACTGGGATGTAGATGATGACGACGGCTCGATGAAGGCTAGTTATGTGGATACTCACAGCATTGGCAAGTTTATCAGCACCAAAGAACCTGGTGAAGGCCGCCACAGGTTGGACGTCACTTCAGGCTACAAACACGCTGAGGGTTAGTGTTGTAGTCATATGACTATGTTTGGATTTTACGACACATTCACGGGGCTGTATAGGGAGGAGTTTCCAATGGGGTGTTTCTCGTTGGCGAATTCCTGGCACAAGAGACAAGCCAGCTTGTGTCATTATTATACAGTATAAGTTTTCTTTATAAAGAGGGAAGTCAATGGCGTTTAAATGAGTCTGTACATCCTTTACACCTTTTTTACATTTGTGAGAGAAAACAAACAAACAAAGAAAAAGACAAACAGAAATCTCAGAAATAGCACCTAAGGAGTATATTGCAGCATTGTAGCTTTAAGTTTGTCGTAAAATTATGACAACAAGAAGAACTGGAAACCGTATGTGTCAATCAAAAAAATTCATTTTAGAGAAAATGGGAAAATAGCACCCATTTTGAATAGAAAAGAAAACGACCATCTAACGAGCTCGGTAAGATAATGGGTGAGAATTCTGGTCGCGCATTTCAAATTGAAGTTTATTCACGTTGTCACCATGATCTTCCTTGATTTTGGTAGGCTCTCAACAAGAAAGAAAAGCTGTCGAGTTTGCCTATAAATTTAGTACTAGAAGAGAGTACGAAATTTACAATGCTGACAAAGAGGATGTGGAATTCAGCCTTGAAGTTCTGGATAACATTGCTATCGGTGACAGCTTCGACGTCAAAGTTGTCGCGCTTAACAAATCCTACGAGCAGCGAAATGTTAAAGTGAACATCACTTCCGTCATGGCATTCTACACCGGAATTCCAGCAAAACCATTGAAAAGAAAAATGGAAGCAATTGAAATTGGCCCAAATAAAGGTACAGTTGATGACTACATTGCAATTTTAAGCGAGGTCTAAGTTACTTGTTTACGCCATATAAAACATGAACTTTGTCTCTCTGTTTTAGAGAAAGTAGTGATCCTGAAGATTGCAAGTGGAGATTACATGGGTAAGATTGCGGCAGATGGCAACGTCAAACTGTATATCAAGGGTAAAGTGCAAGAAACAGGCCAGTCCTTTGGCAAACAGGATGTGGTGGAGCTTAGGAAACCCAAACTAACAGTCACGGTATGAGACTGATTGTTCAAACTTGATTCAGGTCCAGTCTTGTACCTAGATAGATTATCCAATAAAGGCCTAGAACCCATTACAGTACTCCTTACGGCGTTTCCTTTTGAAATGAATAACAACTGATGAAAATTGTTCACAAACGTGAGTGAAGTAAAACAAATTGGGATGCTCTTCTAGGGTTTGTTATTATGAAGCATCGATGTCTGATATATTGATTAAAATATCAAAAATATTTTGGATAAATTTTGTTTTTGTCATCAATTTACAGCAGGTAAAAAGATCTTAAAAGAAATAAGTTCACATACAAAAAAGTTCACCCCATCTTACATCACAACACGAGGGGTGACTTTTTTGCACCGTATATGAGTAACTTGAATTTGAAGAACATGACCTAGTGTTTTTATTTAGGTGAGATATATGAAAAAAGATATTGAATGATAAGCTAAAATGAAGGTCTAAATAGGATTAACCGTCTGAGCCGTAATACGGCGAGAAAATTAGCCGTTAGTCGTAAAAATTGACAAATTGTAACCGTTAGTCGTGAATGCCATCACTCCATTGAGACTATCTAAAATGGGCAAAGGGAGGCTATACTATGGAAACGGATTTTATGTTTCAAGTAAGAAAATTTAGATGAAATTTTCAAAGTGCACGGATTGTACCAAAGTCATCCTTTAAATCTTATACCACTGACATATTTAATCTTGAATAGCTCGTGTCCTCAGTCTGAAAAGTGTGCCTCTCCACAATCGAGCTAACAAAAATCTTAATCCAATCGCCGATTTCATACACCGCTGTCCTCAACGTTTTCAAGCTCAGATACTCATTGTTTATATGTGTTACTCCATGTGCAGGCATCTCCTAAGTCTGTGAAGAGGTGGGATAAGGTGGAAGTGACAGCTTCCTTCAAAAATCTTTTGCCAGTCACTTTGAAGAATGGACACTTTCAGTTGGAAGGAGCTGGTTTGTCACCGAGGTCGAGTGTCATTAACATGTGAGTATTAAGTGAGTCAGGTAGTGATAATGCGTCGATCAATCCGAAGCTTCAACATCCCTCCGGGCAACCCCTCAGGCATTTGAACCTTTCAAGATTGGCTCGTTCAAATTTCCGCCTCTCCCCCCCCCCCCCCCCCCCCCCCCCCCCGCTCCCGGGAACGGCTCAAAATTATGTTCAAATGCCCCATCTAAAATTTAACGACTCGTTGTGTGATCAGGAAAGTCACATTTTAGCTTTTGGTGCTGTTGTTGAGTTTTTTACTTGTAAGCATCATTCTACGACGAACAAAATTGTCTCTCTAAGCAATTCACTCCCTAAAATAGACTCTTCACCCTTAAAATTCTCAATTAAAACGCGTGCATTACGCTGGACAGACTTGATACCTCCAGTTCAAATGCACCCCACCTAGGCAAGGTTCAAATTTCCCACTCCTTCCCCCTCCCCCCATGGACGACGCCGGTCATATGCCTGCGGGTTGCTAGAGGAAAATGGGGATGAGTTCCGAATTGATCGGCGCAAAATTTGAAGGGTTTTTGTTTTCAAAAGAACTTGAAGGAGACATCAAAGTGTATTACCAGTGGGATACAAACGTCGGTGCTTTAGAGTTCAAGGCGAATAAAAGGAAAATCGATCGGTTAGAAGGTATTTTATAGATTTGAAAAATAAAACCTTTTTATTCGTAGCCATTTTACGAGAAAATTGTGTTCATGATGTCATAATTGCAAAGCTGACTACTTATGATCTGAAAGCCAAGATTGTTGGTGATGATTCCTTTTCGATATCTATTCCGAAAACGTATTTTTATAATTACTTATTTTGTAAAAACCCTTACCATGTATGCCGCACTATAACTATTTCCTTTTTCTTTACATTTGGCTACACCATAACTTTTCTTTCTTTTTTCCCCTGTTTGCTATTTGCTTGTTTATTCATTCATTCTATTTTCCTTTGTCAGAGATTCTGTGGCTCCTAAGATGGAAGCTAAAGCAAGCGCCACATTTACCGTCACACGAAGCCGCAAGCGAACTGTTGTTGTCAGTTTCCAGTCGGACCAGCTGGCTGGAGTACGAGGAGAATGTGTCATCAATGTGACTTAACTTAAATCACATGCAAATCTGTTAGGATTTTTTAGGCGATTAGACAATTGTCATTTTTTTATACACAAACGTTATTTTTTCCATTCAACCATTGCGATCAAATTTGACTCAATTCTCACATTTGGTGCGGCGGTTTTTATTAAAGTAAATGCTATGTGACCCAAACGAGTGATGTTTTTTAATAAAAATATTAAAGACTTGGTTTATTCAAATACATGTGGTGAAGTATTCTCGTGTTAACTTAACGAAACCTTTTCCCCTTTCTCTTCGTTCATAATTTTTAAATGTTCATCATCCTTCAAAATGGGCACATCTTATAAGATTCCATAAGTGATAGTTAAAGAGCGAGACGCCCGAATCAACCATCACACACAGTAATCAAGAGCAAAGAGTCCTATTTTTTACTGAAATTTAATATCTGAATATTTACTAAGGAGACACATTTTCTGTAAAGCAGGAGACTTCAGGATTTTTAGGCGGAAATGGGAATGTTCATAAGGCTTTAAAAAGCCTCATGAACATTTCCGCCTTCACCAGTTCGCCTTCATAAAACTGAACAGCGTCCCAAAAGAATATTTTGGGCCTCTCCCTTGACACTTCTCTATATACTGCAGTACAACAAAAACCCGTTACGAAGCATATTCGTTGATTATCCCTTGCTCTTGAGATTGTGGTTAATTTTGAAACTTTCGTTTTGAAGAATATCTATTAGCAGAGGAGAAGCATTCATTCCAGGCGAGAATGTGCGCCCAATGTCATTTCCTTTTTCTCTTCGCAACCCTATTGGATTTTTCTTGCATGTTATGCGGCCAGGATGGTTCGAAGTGAGATTGGGTAATCTGCAAGCGAAAACAAACAAGCTTGATTCTGCCACTGGGAGATAGTAGCGATCTCTCAGGGAAATTGGGAAAGGTATCACCTACTTTGCATGAAACGAAACTTTCCAGAGACATTCATGTGAGAGTTACACGCACTCACACTAGAAGCTCATTGCGGAGAAAATGTTTTCATTGCTTTTCTTTTTTCAAGACAGGCTTAAGGTCGCGAGGAACGACTTAGTGAGAGCGCAATGAAATCTTCTTGGGCCGTGCAGTCTGCGACCTAAGGAAGTCTGGGTTAAAACTTAGCGACCAAGCCTTTGGCTGACGTGTATATGTAAGAGTCGAAAGAGTCATTAACAAGGTACAGCTGATGAGAACTGTTAACTACAATTTCCATCCCCTACAATCTATTAACTGTTCGTCCTAGGAACAGGTTAGGACATCCAAGATGTGGGGGAGAATCTCCTCCATGGCACAAGCCATGCAGGAGAAGCTGGAGGAGTCTCTGGGCGAAGATCCAGCCGAGGACCTGGAGGCATCAGCAGAAACTTCGCCGGCTCAACATAGAAAGGTTATTCATTCATTCGACTCGGATCGATGATAAGGGTTGATTTATCTTAACATGGGGCTTATTAACTTGTATTTATTCGTATTAAAGGATGAAGACGTTATCTCAGAGCTTAGGAGAGCATTGGGTGAATCGGAGAAGAGGAACGAAGAGATAAATCGTGAATTCCAGAAGTTGTTACGACTAAAGGAGGTGCTGCTACATTTAGTGTTTACCTGAAAATTCGCGCAAAATTATGACAAACCTGGGATATATCTCGTATAGATTTTGATACTTTGTTTAAACTGGCTTAAGATCGTTCCAAGGGCTTCATCAGTCCCTGCAATATTCAACTATATATTTTCTAAATCGTTATGATTACTTGCGAAGTTACACAAGTTATTGGTTTCCTAGGCTCAGTTGTAAAATGGCGGATAACGCTATCCATTGGATAAATCGCTATCCTGCGGATAAGTGATAGCAAAACGTGTAGAGTTACACACCAGATAGAGATTTATCCACTGGATAGTGTTATCCTGCCTTCGACCAAACGGGCCTGGTTTGCAAATAGTGAGATTTGTCGATCCGATAGAGCTTTGTTGGAATGGACAAAATCTTTGTTCCAATTGATTTACGTCGTGAATTTACCAAAATGATCCTTATATATGTAGTGCAGCAGCATACCATTAAATCCTGCTTAATAAACATTTTTGATTGTCGTGGTGTTTGGCAAAATAAATTTAGTAACTGTTTTAAATTTTGAGCAACCTGTTTTTTATCAAAACAGTAGACTGTCATCAGAGGTTTTTTATTCAGTCAAATCCTTGAAAAGTGTTAACACTCAGGAGATCTTTATAAGTTAATTCAAGTTTATCTTTCTTTGATTTACATCTTACCCCCTCCCTGAAATAAAGAGTCATTGCAATGTGAGTCTGCCTCTGTGTCCTCTCCACCTCTTAAATAGAGATGATGGGCATCAGACACAGGATATAATAGAATAAACCATGCATTCAGCGTTCACACTTATTTTAAGCATGTCAGGAAAAACAATTTCTGGCAGTAGTAAGAGGTACTGCATACAGTAAATTTTAAGCATTATGGTCTGAAAAGAAGAAAACTATGCATAGACATTACTAAAGTGGATACAGATCAGCAAGTCACCTTGGAAACTTGAAAGTAGAGTAAATGCCTGCATGCAACATCTTTTAAATGCCACCTCACGTAGCGAAGGCATCCTTAGCTAAAACTTTGACAATGTTTTGATTTGGATTCTATACCTGTAAATGTGAGAAAAAAATAGTATTTTAGGCTTATCCTGTGTCTTTGGTCAGATATTGAATTTGGGCTAATGCCATGTCATGAACAAATTAAACAAGTGACAGTCTTGCAACAAATCTTGGGTTTTCTAATTATAGTACTCTTTATCACTGCTTGCTAAGCATAAGTGGATTTTATGCACTAATAAATATGTTAAATGAAAATGTTTTCCTTTACTTACCATCAATTATTTCATTCAGGAGGAACTTGTCCAATTGAGAGAAAATGTAAGAGCAGGACCATCCTTAGATGTTGGTGAACTTTTCACGGAGATACAAGATCCAGTAAGCTTGCTTTTATTTCCTTTAGTTTTACTTTCTTTCTACTAGTTAAGTGTGGTTTCACCTAAAATGCCCAACCTTGAAATATATTTTATTAAATGAGCTAATGATGTAAATTAGCCAGTTAAAAGTGCCAGCAGGGCTGCCAGTTAGGGCTGTCAGCCACAACACCTGGTACTGCTGAGCACACTTGATGTTGCAGGTGAAGGGGGAAATTTTTGTTAAGTTACACCAGACAAAACCAAATTGTTTTTAAATATTGAGCACCTATGCAGCACCACAGTCTATTTGAAAACTTATCCCTTTTGTCTTGAAATATGTTTGACTGTTACTCAGAGATCTCTTCTGAGGATGAAACTAAACTTTCAGGGACAGGCATGAATACAGTGCAATGTGTATTGTCTGTTGTAAATCATGTGTTTTTTTATCCAAAAGCTTTATGCTTTTCTTTCTCTTTGCGTATTTCTTCTTTTCTTATACTTTCTTTTTAATAATATTATGTAAAGTGTATAGTACCAGTCTATGGCAAGGTGGAAGTACCAATTCAGAGTCAATCTTCAATACTTTCCTCTTGAAAAACCCAAAACAGGAATAGAAAATTTTGTGAAAATTCTTCAGAAATGTGAAACAAGTGTCTGTTCTCAGATTTCTAGAGAATCAAGGATGGGAAATCATTTAATTTATTGAAAAGTAGTACTTGTTACCCAATGCGTGTGAGTGTGGAGTATCACATGGGTGCTACAAAATACCTGTATACTGAGTGTTATTGCAAGAATATTGATTACCAGCCTTCCTTTTTGTAGGAGAATCCAACCAAAATGGGTAGCATCCAACAAATCAAAGATTTGCTGTCCAAAAAAGACAACACCATACAGTCCTTACAGAATCAATTGGAGGAAAGTGAGAACATGGTCAGACAACTGGAACAGCAGGGACGAGACAATGAAGAGAAAGTAATGAGTGAGTTGGCTGTCAAGATCAGAGCAGCTGAAGGTTTCCAACTAAAACTTGAGGAATGTAAACAACTGTTAGAGGATCGGAACAAGACAATTGAAGGTCTCATGGACCGACTTGATGCACAGAAACGGCTGATAGATAGCCGAGATCAGGTTATTGATCAGTTGAAAGCCATGAAGAACCTGGACAGTGGTGCTGATGAGCTTGTTTCCACATTACGAGAGCAGCTTGAAGCAATGAGCAGTAAGCTTGAGCAATCTGTGGATGAGACTGAGAAAGCTAAGAATGAAGTACGTGTGCTCAAGAAGGAATTGGAGGAGAAGAGTGAACTGATTGCTTCAGCAGAAAAGGTAAAATGTAACATACTTGACACAGATAATGATATACAAGTTAATTGAATCTCCATGAAAGTATTAGTGGCATGTGAAAAGGCCTTGCTTCAGACAAGTACTTATACAGAGTGTGCATATGTTTGTAAGTTGGGGTGTAAAGCACTTGGATGGTTGTTATATGTGCACATAAAGTTTGTGTATGATGTGAGTAAAATTTTTAGTTCAAACTAGCTCACTTTTCACAGCTATAAAGAAATATACGGTAGAAAAACATAGATAATTTACAGACAAAATGTCTGTCCTCATTGTACGATGGCAGGTCTGACAGATGCATCTTCACACTACAATTACTTCAGCTGCAGTAATGAAACATTCATACACTATTCAACTATGTTGGTGTACTTATATGCCTATAAAAACAAAGGCTTTGAATTGGTTGTTATGCCAAAGAATAATAATCTGTTGTACATACTGCTTTATGGTATTGATTAATAAACTTGATGACCTCTCACAGTATGCTGTTACATTTTGGTGCTACCATGGCATTTGCTGCTCAGGAGTGTAAAGCATGCTTGACACACCAGCACTAGCTCTCCAATCACAGTTTTTTTTCTATTGTACATTTGCAGATAGAGCAAGAGAAGGCAGCTTTATTACAACACATTCAAGAAATAGAAGAAGAGCACAAGCAGGCTGTTGTTAATCTGCAGCACTATGTTCAAGAAAAGGAAAAGGCTCTTGCAGCTGAGTTTGAAGAAGCTGAGCAAGTATACAAGACAACTGAACATGACCTTCGTGAACAACTGGAGGAGAAGACACGCATCATAGAGGTGAAATAAGAATTCCTAAGTTGTTCCAAATAATGTACTGTCTACCATATTCACATGGATAAAAGGGGTTACATACAGTTTACAAATTTACAGTTGTAATGTAGCTCATATGTTTCAAGTTCTCAAGAGTTTTTATCTACATGTTTTGTGGAATGTACACTGTAGTTTAAAACAAAATTCTTCAATTTTTCCTATTATTGTGACTATAAATTACAGGTTATATCATTAAATGAAGGTATTCTACTGTCACTAAAAGATTTCAGATATTTATCTGTACTACAGTATTTTTATATGTAAGTTACCTCTTAATGACAGCAAGCTGGGAAAAAGTTTAGAACAAGTAAAGACAGGGTTTATGTTTCCTTATTTCAAGTTGTGTTGTCTTTTTAAGTGGAATATGAGATTTTATTCTACAGAATGATGTAACTGTGTGATTGGATGGGATCTGAGGTCAATTGAGTAAAAAGTACCTCATCAAGTATCTTGAACACTGCTGTTGGTGTTGTCCTACTTGAACACTGCTGTTGGTGTTGTCCTAACTCTAAAAATGTTCTCATTTGGTTTAGTTTTCTTTTTTTACAGTCCAAAGATGAAGCTGTTCAAGTTCTTAAAAGAGCCATGCAAGAAAAAAACTTGAGTAGTGAGGGGCCTTTGCCACCCCCTCATACTGATAAAATAGTGGCTTTACTAGAAGAAAAGGTTAAAGAACGTGAAGAGACCATCAACAGCAAATCTGAGAGGATTCATGAACTGGAAAAGGATGTAGTTGACCAACGAAATAGCATTGATTCACTTAAAAAGTTAGTTGATGATAAAACATTTGAGGTAAAAGTTTTGCAAGAAGCAGTTCATGCTAAGGATCAAGAGATTGAAGACATTAAAGAAAAGCATGAAACTGAGTTAAGTGAAAAAGCATTGAAGCTTGCATCACAGGCTAAAGAAAACCAAGACTTGGAGAAAACAATTGCATCCTTAAAGGAAAGTTTAGCTGGTCTAGAGTCCAAAGAAAATGTCACTGAAAGACTTTTGCTTCTTGATGCAGAGAAGGAACAACAATTTAGAAATGAAATGGAAGCTTTTAGAGATAGTGAAAAGGTCCTTGATGCAAAGCTGCAGGCAGCTCTTGAACAGAACAGAAACATTTCTGAAGAACTTGCTTCAGCAAAGACCAAGATTGAGGCTAAGGAGAAGGAGTTGCATGATTTAAGTACAAGGATGGGCAAGTTGAAGCTTCAAGCAAAAGCCAAGCTGACAAGTGTTCAGAATGAAAAGGAGAAACTTTCCAAGGATAAGCAAGAGGTAGAATTTGTTTATGTACAATGTTTAATAATACTCTGATGAGAAAATATAAATATATATATATGCAATGAATGAATAGATAAATAAGCAGTTAATTATCCTCTCTCCGAATGGTTTTTCAAGGGCAGTGATAGCAAAAAATGAAACAAATTATTTTCTTGTAAACTACCAGAACAGCTGGGCAACCCTTGGCTTGGGACAGATCCATTAGAGGCATGAATGGTACTCACCTTTACCTTGAACTCAGGATATCCAGCCCACAAGCCCAGCATTTGATCAGTCAACAACAGTATTCAGCCTTCTTAGAGCTTTAGTTTTACTATGAAGAAACTTCAGTTGATTTCCTCTGTTTTTGTAGGCACTTGTAGAGATGCACATTTGATATTGTGGTTTCTCTTATTCACTATTGCTTCTGTTTTTTGCAAACAATGTCAATATGAAAACAATTCAAGGTACTTGTGCAGCACTTTGATTTCTATGCAATGCACCTTGGTTAAGTATTGCATTAAATTAGACATACATGTATCACATTTGGTGTGATCATTAATTTTCATTCGGAGATCATTTTAATCACAACATTCACACTGCTGTGTCTTTAAGGTTGAACTGCATCTGTTGCGTGAGAGAGAAGAAAAGTTAGCCATACAGATGAAAATAACACAGATTGAAGAAGAGCGAGAGGCTGCTGATTCCAAACGAGTAGAGTTAGAGCAAGCACTGGAAGAGTTTGTCAGGACAACAGATAAGAAAGGAAAACTGACTGCTTTAGAGAAGAAATCTTCTCCAGATGTTGGTAAGGAAATTTTTAAACCTTCACTATAACACACTTTGCCCTCCTCAAGGAACCATTTCTTAGCTCAATTTCAGGCCGTTTTTTTTTTATTATCGTATTTCAAATTTAAATTACAGACTGACATAATTAAAATTACTACACAGAGACAAGGAGGTTTGGCCAACAACAGCTGCACAATTCCTGTTGTGAGCATTTTAACCAAAATTAACATTACAATTGTTCTAAAACAACATTAATTCTATCAATAATAATAAGACATTTAAATTACTCTACAGTCTTCCTATTACAATGAGATAAAATACAGTTTCTATTGGGAAAACTAATAGAATAATTGTAATTATTACTGATGCAAAGTGAAAGAGAGAAACATCCAAGATTGGAGTGGAAAGTTTTTAGTCCATTCTTATAGAAAGAAAGTCTTTACTTGTTAAGGGCAATGTATTTTTCTGTGTGATAATTAATTTTGACTTTTACTTTGAAACCTACTATATTCGCATGTGCATGTGTCCTTCTGCAATCCCAAATGTTTATTTTTCCGATTAGTAGTAAATAATTTAGTAAATGGCATGACAATGTTGTAATGCCTATTATGATATCTTGAAGGCTGAGATTATTATTATTATTATTGTGTAATAATAATTTCTGAAATGTTTCCAAATTTTTTTTTAAATATTAAAAACATTGTTATACTTAAATCAAGGGATGTTACCGTCAAACCTACCCTGGGCTATTTTTAGATTGGAATTTCAGATGTTGCTGGAACAAAGTTTCATCACATTTTATGTAAACAGACATACTGCTCCTCTTAATAATCAACAGGAATTAACTGATAAGTCTTAAAAATCTAAGAGACCCCCCTCTCTCAGTAGGGCCATGTTTTCATGAATCCACACTTTATATAATCCCTAATAATTGAACAACAAGGAAGTATTGAAAATTTTTTTGGTGTGAAAACTAAAACTGTTCTGATTTGTTAGAGGAAGATGATGTCCCTGAGGAAGAATTAGAGGGTAGTGGTACAGTGTCTACTATCATTGGCTCAAACACAGAAGAGTCAGGTTCCATTAATGTTATGAAAATACTGGAAGAGGAAAGATACTGTATGGAAAGAAGACTTGACCTCATCACCAAGGTATGATGATTACAGTATATTGTTGCTATTATTATTGCTAATGACGTGGTTACTAGAGTGTTATGTCAGATTGGTTGGTGTGTTATTAAACCATGGCTGAAGACATGGTGATCTGTTGTTTTACAGCTGTAAGAGATGTACATTTTGTTCATGTATATGCATGCATGCATGCATGCATGGACATGGTCAGGAGCTCTTGCAGAGCCTGTCTTCACCCATGAGTTTTAAACAGACTTTAGATCTGTTATCCTCCCAGTAAGTTCATGGAGTGGACCTAGCCCTTCTGATCAAATCATGTTTATGCTGTATTGTTGCCTTTTTTTTTTAAAGGAACGTGATTCCTTGCAAAGCAAAGTGGAAGAACTGGAGGAAATGCTGGAAGCAGAGAAAGAACGCCAACAGAAAAAGACTGAGGAAATCAGTTCAGATGAGGATGCTGAACTTGCTAAGCACATGGCAGAGGAGTCTCTGATGATGCACATTGAAGCTCTTCAGGAAGAAAATGAAACACTTAGGTACTGAGTGTAATTCCTGTAATAAATGTTGATATTACCTATTTGCAAAGCATGGCTTTTCAGAGGTTCAACCGCAGTCTGCATAGCATTCACAGTAAGAAGAGGATAATTGAGAATCTCCTATCAGTAGTTAAAAGCTCAGCTGATGGTTTTATCCACTTACTTACTAACCCCAACCTCCTGCAAACTAATCTTGATGCCTCCTCTGGTCTTATCAGTCTTGATTTCTTTCAAACACTACTTCGCAACTTAAAAACATAAAAGAGATGCTCGACGTCAAAGAAAACGAGATGCCTCCTCTGGTCTTATCAGTCTTGATTTCTTTAACCTCCTCCAACCATGTGTTTCTTCATGGGTGTCACTGTAGGTGACTTGTCAGAGGTCAACTCTGAGTCATTGCCCTTCTTTGGTTGCCAGAGTATAAGTGAATGTGTTGTGAATTGACGTACATTAGTTTGTGTCTACCAGGCCTTATTATTCCTCCTAAAACCTTGACTAGAACTAAGCACTCTTCAACTTTTGAATTGTTGCAACAGGGATGGTGACCAGAAGTGCTTTCTGTACTATTGATTGCCACCAAACAATCAACAAGCATTTCTTGCAAGGCAAAAAACAATACTACAGCAGTAAAATCATGAAAAATCGTGTACCAGACTAAGGTTAGGTGCATGTACTTTGGATTTAAATATGGAAAATAATACATTTTGAATATGGGATGCAGAAATAATATATTTTGAAGACGTGCACGCGATGCAATTCGTACAGGACGATCATAACCTGTAGTCAAATGATATAATTATTTCATACAACTTCTATACTTTCTGCTCTCCAGGTCTACCTTGGAACGGGAGCAATCTGCAGTAGTGAACCTGACAGAACAATTGAAGCAAGCTCCAATTGAGCAAAAGGTAGGTTTTGTGCGGGGAAAAAAAACATTTCTGGAGCTAACAAAAAAAATTTATTTGCAGCCATGCCAATGAACAGATTCTATGTGTAGTCTTTAACCCATACGCTCCTCTGATCTCAATATCAATTCTCCATTATGTCTGCCACACATTTCTGAGGATTATAGTTTTGAGAATTTTATGTTGAATCAAACGGTATCTCTCGCTGATACTTTTCTTTCTTATCGCCATTCTGTTCATTGTTCAAGAAATAAAATGTTGTTGTTAGTGGAAATTACTTCCTTATTAAATCCTAAGAATGAAAGAGTAAAGAAAACAGCTACCTATTTTGACTCACACGGGTTTTTTGGTATTTATTATAATTATATGTTTGAACGGAGTAAGTTATATTCCTTAAATTGATGCAGATTTTTTTAAGAAAGTAGGGGGAGGGGGAGAGGAAAGGACATTGTCGATGTACATTTTCAGAGACCTTTACTTTCCATGCGTAACAGTTATAATGACTTGTCAAAAGCCATCATTCTTAAGTGTTGGTGCCCATGTAAAAGTTAGGCAAAATACATCTAGAAATACTATTATTTGGGTCATTTTAAAGGAGCAAACCTAATGTGTTAGTTGCAAACCCTCCTAGACTAGTGATTTTATTTAGTAATTCTCCCTCTTAGGTTCCTTTACATCTACTCATAAGTTGCTATAGAGAGTTTAGTGTATTATCAGATAGCGTCGATAAATTGATCAATTCTCATAAATTTTGTGCTCTTGTGTTACGAGTTAATAACTTGTGGGAGTTTGAAGGCTGGCAACTTTGAAAGTGGACTGACTGTGATTTAACATGTAAACTTGTCTTGTTGTAGGATCGTTAATCAGAAAAGTAGATATTTTTCTGAATAAGTGAAATGATAAAAAGTATTGTGAAACGGGATGCACGATGGGAACCATGTAACTCTAAACGCTGCAACGCTGAGAAATCATTTCTAATTTTATAATTAACACCAGGTAAACAATTCCAATGTATCGTATCAATGTCACTGTACCGTATCTTTTCCATACAACACGAATACCCAGTAGGAAACATTTTTCAAACGTGTTCGAGTAATACGCACCACCATGATAATTAAACATTAGCAGCTCTTCATTTTCTCAATGAAATCCTCTTCGTGTAGTTAGAAACCTAGAAAACTTGGAAAATTCTGATTCCAGACATCCCACTTTTCAGCTGTTTGACAAAGATGAACACATATCGTACCTGGAGTCTAAAGTGGCTCAGCAACAACAGAATCTTCATCTGTTTAAAACAATGCTCCAAGAAAAAGAAGTATACCTTATGGATGTTAAAGATGAGGTGAACAAACTCGTCTTTTTTAAGAATAAATATCGTGGTAAATTAACTAAATAGATAAAAAACGACAGATTCGTGCTCAATTAAAACTTTAATAGTTGTGTACCCAAATAACTTTTCCACAGATGGATTAATAAGTCTTCCCATTATTAGAAGAAACTTTTGTGGCAAAGTCCAACAAATAGAAGTATTTCTCATGAATGTTACAGATGAGATGAACAAATTCGTCTTTTTCAAGAGAAAATATCGGATTAAATTAATTATTTAGATAACAAAATAAAGATTCGAGCTCAATTAAAAATTTAATAATTGTGTTCACGCACAAATTTTTCATAGATGGGTTGATAAGCCTTCCCATTATTTTAAAAAAACTTTTGAGACAAATAAGACGGTTGAAAAAACTCGCTAACTTCTGCAAAGTCGTCTTAATCGCCAGAAAACTTTTACAAAAGTAAGGCCGTCCACAAGCAGAACTCGGTCTTATTCTGTGGAAATTGTCAAGCCCTTACATTTTAGATTAGTTTCCGCATAATCTCCAGGTTATGATTGAATTATATAGAAAGTCATTACTATTGATATACTACTGCGATTGTGATGGTGATGGTTGTGATGAAGGAAGTTCTTCCTTCCCCTTAAAGATTGCTAAGGACTGGAACCTAACTAACAGAATTATGGAAATCGAACGTGCCGTGATAGGTCCAATCTTTGGTGTCACTAGAAAGGCGTTCCAATATGATGACTCGATTAAGTTATCATTAATTTGAAATAAGTAACAAGTGGGACGATTTCCACCATTAAGTACAAATACCACCAGGAACAATTATCATCCAACATACTGTGATCTGAAAACGAAAAAAAAATATGTTGGCTATTAAAAAAATAAACAATAGCTAGAAAGAAAATGGATGTCACGGCTGTGATAGTTTTTTTTTAATTAAAATGTGGTCACAATCGATTGTCTCACTGATGTTCTTAACTCGTTTTGACGTTCGCTGTTACTTACATGTATTACTGAACAGAAGTACGGCTAAACGAAATAAATCTATTTGTTTTATATAAGAAAGAAGAAAATTTCTTTTTTTAATGGTGATGTCATCTACAGGATGACGTGTGGGTTTCTGTCCTCCAATAGATCAAGAGCGAGATCCAATCGAAATGCGTGTATACTTCAGGTTATTACAGAGTTAAAAATAAATATTAACTTGTAAAATCCATTCTATTCATAACATAAATACGTAACATCATAATGATATCTTTGGAAAGTAAGTAGACAACTGGTAGTTCTGGTAGGTAGCACAATTAATAGCACCTATGCACTGAAGAATTGGTAATGTCACTGTGTAATCAGTTGTTTAGAATGAATAGAAAAAAAGCATTTACAGAATTTTAGAACTTTTAAGAAAATAGTTTATGAGATCCTTCCTTGAACTTCGAAAGAGAAAAATTACAACAAGCTACTCTCCTGCTAGTCACGAGTCAGTGGTCTTGGGGAGAGTGTACCTAGAAAAGCTAGATTCAAAATCGCCTTTGGAAATTTTGATGTTGCACAGACGGTTCAATCTAACAAGAAATTATTTATCTTCCAGAACGAGTTGCAAGCAGAAGTCGATTCGTTGAGAGAGTTTTTAGCGAAGGAGAAGGAAAAAACAACAGGTAAACGTACTTCTCTCAAGAGCTAACTTCTCCTAATTAAGCTTGGGTTACAGTGGTTGAGCCCTATCCTCGCTGAACCTGTTGAATTTATTCAGACGTTAAAGTTTATATAAACAAGAGATAATTAACCTGTGAGTCAGCTTTACAAAATGTTTGTTACCTCTAGGACTTGCAAGCCAACTTGAACAGCATCAGGAACAGTGCACTAAACAATCCCAACAGATGGAAAACCTCAAACTGGAAATTCAGGAAAAGCAAGACGCTATAAAATCGCTTGAGCTCCAACTCCAAACTGGTCAAGAGTATCAGAGGAAAGCTTTGGAAGACAAAGATAAAGACATTCAAAATCTTCAGGTAGCATTGATGGAAAATAGCTCAGGTTTTGAGTTGCTGAACGCAAGCTTTAGTGAAACAAGCTCTCAGGTAGAGCAACTTCAGGAAGAGCTGGCCATAAAAGATGCTGAGCTTGCCAGGCTGAAGAAGGAATTAGGTGATCAAGAGCTGAGCCTTGATCAGCTTAGGGAAAGTTACACAGATGTCTGTACAACGCTCAACGAATTGCAAGGGTTGTTAGCGAACAAGGAGGCGGAAGCAACAAAGCTGCAAGAAAGCAAAGACCACCAAATGGCTGAACTGGAGTCAATGCAGTCCAAGCAAGGCGAGCAGATTGGAGAAATCCAAACTCTTCAAGAAACTATTGCTAGAAAGGAAGATGAACTTGCTCAGCTCAGAACGACATTTGAAGAGAAAGACAGCAGTTTTGAAGTTTTAAGTGCCAGTTTTATGGAAACCAGCTCCCAAGTGAAAGGGCTTGAGGAAAGCCTTCAGGTAAAGGATACTGAACTAGGTGTTTTGCAACAAACACTACAGGAGCGCATTCTTGCTTTTAACAAGCTTACTGACGATCTTTCAAACACTACTTCGCAACTTAAAAACATAAAAGAGATGCTCGACGTCAAAGAAAACGAGATCGGCAATCTTAATTCCAAATTAAAAGAACAAGAAATGGCATACGCGGAACTGAGCACAAAATGCGAAGAATCAGCTTTGAAGGTAAGAGAACTTGAAGAGAACTGCGTTGCAAAGGATATGGAATTGAAAACACTGCAAACTGCATCGGAAGCACAACATTTGCTAAATGAGCAATTGAACCAAAGCTCCGCGGAATGTGACGGACAGATAAAGCAGCTACAAAGTTACTTGAGGGAAAAAAATCAAGAGGTCAAATCACTTCAGGAAAATTTGGGTGAAAAACACACAAGACTTGAGCAAATAGAAGAACTTTTGATTACAAAAGAGAAAGGTGTAGCAAAACTTGAAAGCGAACTGGAAGAGCAGAACAGTAATAATCAACAGCTGAGTTATAGCTTACAAATTGCAGAAAGCCAGGTGAGGGATCTTGAAGAAGCAGTAACCAAAAAAGATGAGAATATAGGTTCACTTAAAAAAGATCTTGAAACTCTAGGCTTGGAGTATGAAGAACTAAATTCAAGCTTCACCGATGCTAGCTCCCAGATGAAAGAGCTACATGATCTACTCGCAGCAAAGGAGACAGAGCTTAATGTTCTAAAAGCAAGTATAGAAGACCAAGGATCAAATTTTAATGAACTGACATCTCGTTTGACGGAACAAAGCGCTCAGTTACAGGAATTCACTAATTCTTTATCTGCTAAAGAAGATGAAATCAAGACGCTTCGAGCCAGCTATGAAGAGGAAAAAGCGCGATTTAGCGAGCTTGAATCTCGATACATAAATGACATGGGTGGACTGGAGGAGACAATCGTACTTAGAGAGAACGAGAATGCGGCTCTGAGAGCTGAACGCCAAGAGAATATATCAAGTCTTAGTGAGCTAAACAGAAGTTATGACGAGGCTACTTCAAAAATCAAAGAGCTTTACGAAATTATTAAAGATAAGGATGACGAGTTAAGAACCCTTGGTGCTAAATTTGAAGAGCAGAAATCCAATTATAATCAGCTTAATACAACAGTTGAGGAATCAAGTTTGAAGGTGATCGAACTTCAGCAATCCCTTCAGGCTAAAAGTAAAGAGGTAGATGTGTTACAGTCAAGCTCAGACGAAAAAGCGTCCACTCTTGAGCAATTGAATGTGAACTTTGATAAATTGGTGGCTCAAGAAAGAGAATTACAGGATTTGCTCGAGAGTAAGGAGGCTGAAATGAAAGAATTGAAAACTATGGTAGACAAGCAAGCTTCTTATTTAGAACAGTCACAGAAGAACGATGCTGAAAATTCGTCTCAAGTGAATCAGTTGATGGAAGAACTTAAGGTTAAAGATGCAGAACTTAGCCAGATGCAGACTAGTTTTGTCGACCAAAATGCCAGCATTGGGGAACTAGAGGACCGTTGGACTGAAACGAATTCTTTGGTAAATGATTTGCGGCAGAGAATTGCCGAAAAAGAGGATGAAGTGAACTCGTTGAAATCAAGTTTAGATAATCAGAGCATTGAATTTGGAGCTAAATATGACGGGATGCATGCCGGAATGAATGATTTACGCGAGTGTCTTGCTAGTAAAGAAGAGGAGCTCTTTGTGTTGCAGACTACTTTACAGGAGAAGAACACAAGTGTTGAAAACCTGGACGCTAGCTTGAGCGAGACGAATGTGCAACTTGAGGATCTGAGGAGTCAGCTGACAGCCAGAGATAGCAAGTTTACTGCTTTGAAGAAGAAGGCGCAGGCTTTGAAGAAATCTTATGAAACAGTATCTGCTGAGAACGATAGTCACAAAGAGGAATTGGAAGAGCTGAGGAAGGAGAAGGGGATTTTCTTGGAAGAAAAAGGAGCCATGGAAACTTGTTTAGCGCAGCTGATTGAACACAAGAATCAACTTCACGCTAAAAACGCAGAGGTACAGGAATTGGAAACTAAGATTGGGAAAGTGGAAGAGGCTCTTCAGTTGGCTAGTAGTGAAAATGAAAACTTGGCATCAAAAATCACTGAGCTTCGAGAAGCATTAGATTCTCTAGAACAGGAAAAGAAGCAGCTGATAACTGAACGTGAAGAATTTGTCTCTCGCCTAAATGAAGTAGAATCAGAAAAGGTATCGATGGAGACCTCTCTTCATGATGGTAGAGAAGAGATGTCTTTAGTTCAGTCAGAAAATGAAAGCTTCAAGACTAATTTGGATGAGATGAAGAAGCAACTTGATTATAAAGTGAAAGAAGTCAGCGATCTTAGAGAGGTCATAGATCATTTAAAAACCGTTGTGGAGGAAATTAATAAATCTTCTCAAGAAGATCTAAAACATTTGGAGTTAAGAAAGAACGAAGAATTACACGAGAAGCTCTCAGCCAAAGACAGAGAACTGTTTGAATTATCTGAAGATCTGTCTCTTACCAAGAAAACGGTTGGAGAATATCAAGCTAAATTGCTGGGAAATGAAGATGCTTTACAAAAACGATGGAATGCTTTTGAGGAGGAAAAAGAAAGCTTAGAAGGGAAGCTTGGAGATATTTCAGCTGAAAAGAATTCTTTGCAGCAAAAGCTCTCTGAGATGACAGAGAGTCATAATGCTTTGTTGTCAGAGTTTGATTCTGTCAAAGCTGAAGTTGGAAGAGCCAGAAGTGACATAGACGTGAAAGATAACCAGATAAACGCCTTGCAGATTGAATTAAATGGAATGCAAAAAATTGTTAAAGAAGAGCTTGTTACATCACAGAAAGCAGAGTCGTTAAAAAACGAATTATTTGCTAAGGAAACAGAGTTTTTGGACCTGCAAGAAAAATTGAAACATTTTCAGGAGTCATTACCTCTGAAAGAACAGGAGGCCGATGAACTAAGGGAAAGATTACAATCAAGCGAAGACGCTGTGTTAAATACGAACAGTAGACTGCATGATATGTGTGTACAGGAAAGCAAACTAAAAGAATCTCTAGAACAAGCCGAGCTAAAAATTGCCCACTTGCAGGAAGATCTTAGCGACGTTGCTTCAGAGTTAAGGCAAGTGTCTCACGTAAAGACAGCTTTGGAGTCAGAGTTGTTCGACGTTAAGGACAGATTGGGTGCTGCTGAGCTGGAATTGAATTCCTTACGGGTTACCTCAGACAACACCTCCAGAGAACTTGCCCAGAAAGAAGAACGTGTAATTAACCTCGAGCGAGATATTTCTGAGGCAAAATCAATGCTCGAGAATGAGCGTCAAGGAAAAGAAGACACAGAGGTGTTGATGGAAAGGGAACATGACGAGTTGGAAGATACTATTAACGAATTGAGCGGGATGAAAAAGCTATGTCAAGATCAAGAAAAAGCATTGATTGAATTAAACAAGGAACGTAGTGAGAATTTGGAGGAACTTAAAACAGCTAAATCACGCGCTGAGGAGCTGGTTTCTACGCTTGAAGAAATGAAGTCCTCTCTCAATGCTCTTTATAGAGAGAGGGATATTGTAATGACAGAGTTGGAAGAGACCAACGGTAAACTAAGCGAAGTGTTGGCTGTTAAGGCTTCGTTAGAGTCAGATCTTCATGACGTAAATGAGAAGTTGGAAGCAGTAACAGCTGAGCAACAGCGCTATGCTACAGAACTAGGGAGCACAAAGCAGGAGCTTCTTGATCGTAAAGAGGAACTCAAAGAGCTGCGGAGCGTCAGGGAACCTCAGGTAGAGCAAGTAACTCCAGTGGATGTAGGTCTTCTGAATGCAGCACCCGAAAGAGAATTCTTGCTGGGATCACCATCCGATGAAGTTGCAAAAGCCTTGTCGCGAGAAAGACAACTTATCAATCAAATTGAACAGCTCGAAAAGGAAAAATGTAACCTGGAGGCTGAACTGACGGACATTGTGTCAGAGGTGAAAGAGGTCACAGATGCAAGGGGCGCTATCGAGGCGGAACTTAACAATACAAAGGCAGCCATGAATGAGTTGACGGTGCAGCATGAGTGGGTAACAGCAGAACTGCAAAACTTTAAGGAAGAGTTTGAGGAACAAGAAAATGAATTGCACAGGTTGAGGCGAGATTTAGTCGATGCGAACAAAGTTAAAGAGGAACTTCAAGGGGATAACGTGAATGAGAACGAAGACAAACTGCGTCAAGCTGAAGAGGAACTTGCACAGATGAAGATCAACTTCGAAGAAACTGTCAGCAAGAGAGTTGAGGAAATTTCTGAAGCAAAAGAACTTGAAAAGTCTCAAATTGAGGAGCAACTTGCAAAGAAATTGGAAGACGTCAAAAGTCACAAGGATGAAGTGATTGCCAAGTTGAAAGACAAAATACGCGAGAAAATTGACCTTAACAAGAAAATAACAGCTGAGTTCAGGCTCAAGTCAGCCAATGCCCAGAAAGAGAAGGAAGAAGCTTTGCAGGAAGTTCAATCTCAACTAGAACTTCAGACACAAACAACAGAACAACTTTCGGCTGCCTTGGATCAGCAAATAGAAAATTACAAAACTAAAGATGAGGAAGTGGAGATGCTTAAAAACAAACTCGTTGAAATGGAGAATGAAAGCGGACAGAAAGACCTGAACTGGCAGGAAACACTCTTGGAGCTGCAGAATCTCAAACTTGAGATAGAGAAGCGTGATCAAGAAAAAATTGAATTAGATTCTCGTCTTCAGGCCAGTGTAGGTCAGGATGAATTTGAGAAGTCAATTACAGACAGGAATAAACTTATTGCCAACCTGAAAAAAAGGTTGAAGGAAGAACGAACAGCAAAGAAAGAAGAAATGACTAAATGGCAGCATGCTATTACAGAGAAGGACGCCGAAATTCAGCAACTAGAGGTAATGATATTTTTAAAAACCTTTCATGATTACTTGGAGTGACCCAAACCAACCAAACGAGTTGGTAATTGAACGCAGACACTATGTCAACCACCATGCACGTTATTTACAACTCATATTTTCAGGGGGCGCACATTGATCAAAATTCGCTCTGGTAGAAGGCAGACTCGTAGGCTATGTACCGTACATAACCAAGGCTCTGAACACGGATAAACTGAGAACAAATCCAGTGGCTAGCAGGGTGAAAGCTTCAATCCGAGAAAACCAGATAACCAGTCCAGCGCCGAAACATCTCAGTCGGGCTGGCACGATTGTTTGAGACCTTTTTCTTTGACATGTAAACTTGCTTTCAAACTGATGGTAACAATGAATACTAGTGCAGTAACATGTACAAATAGTTATGTGATGAGTGTATGTGTATGGAGAGTATAGATAAATGCAAAGGATCATCGCAGACCCATTATTGTTGCTTATGTGAGGAAACTTTCTTTTGCGTTAGTCTTCTCACGCCAAAGCACTTAAGGATGTGAACAAGAGGCTTGATGCCGCCCAAGAGCATAGTAGAAACTTGGAGGAGAGACGAGAAGCGCTGGAAAATGAATTGCACAGCACTGAGGATGAGATGAATAATCTCAAAAAGCAATCAGAAAACACGAAGAACGAAATGGAAAAGAAGCAGGAGCAGCTTCAGAAAGAGCTTGATGAACGAGGTTGGTAAAAGTTGTGAGATTGATTTACACGAATTTCAGTTTGCCATAGCGTAAGATCCCATGTGCCTGATGTAATTTACTATTACTGAGAGCTGATGCACTGATATGAACTGCTCATCACCTTTGGAAGGTTCATTCAGAAACCTAGTTCCCATTAGATAAGTGCCAGCAATACGTCATGTAAGCTGTGATGAAGAATTTCGATTTTGACTACCCAATCTGTTATTCCTAATTTAAGGCCAATATTAAATTCCCCCACGGGAAGGAAGAAATCTCTAAACTTTGCATCCCTCTCAAAGTGTGGCTTCGTATGTGGCTGATGGTGGCGCCAAACTAGTATCTGGAAGGCACTGGTTCGAATCCCGTAGAAGCCTGAACTTTGTTTGCCGGGCTTCTTTTCAACACAGTAGTTCGCGGTAGTATTTCCTTTTTACTCTTCTTACCTATCGTTTTTCATTTCTTCCTTCGCTTTTGTAGAAATTATGAGTTCAAAGTCTTCATTTTATTTTTAATTCAGTGAATCTGGAGTTTGGTTTTTTTTTGTCGGTGAAGCCTCATTTGGTTGATCGTGATAGCCTTGTGAAACTACCAGCCATGAATTTTTCTGGCGGTAATGGACCCTATTTTGTCTGTTCAACCTTTATTCAACCTCAATTTTAAACAAAATTGCATTGTGCAACGGAAGGTTATTTCGTTTTGTGGTTATTTTCAATAGCGTTTGCCTCTTTCTGATCTCGTGCCACTCCTTTCCACGTGTTGAAATATTTGACTGTTGTGTGATTATGAGACAAGTATTCTATAATTTTTATCTTAAAATTCGACTTTGCCCTTTGCTTTGAGGCTATACCTTGATCGCGACTTTTTCACGTAAAATATCGTTTCTTTGATTTGTATTGATTTCATTCGGACGTTGCTAAGCGATCTTGGTGTACCATCGCTTTCCAATGTGCACCACGCTTTTTGCCATGAGATTGTTCGTCGTTCATTGTAGTGAAAATTTGAAGTGAGCTCGATATCTTGCTTACTCAACTTGAAAACCTACTAGAGAATAAATCCTTTAATTTTCTACGAGGTGAGTTGCTTTATTTTTGTTTCTGCGCACTTTTGTTTGTCCTCTGCCTGCCTTTCGCTTATTTGTGAGTTTACGTGCCTTTTTTGACAATCCTAATTCTAGTTGGTTGTACGTTATCTCTACTTGCGAGCCACTCATACATGTACCTTATAACAGTCTTTTGTTTCAGCTTGCACATCAAACATAGTGAATAACCTACTTATCTGACTTGGCCTTCGCCCTTTTATAAATATGATATTTGATTAGTTAATAGCCGTAGGAAGTACTTCGATTTCTAATCGTAACTATCTGTATACTAATGTAAACTACTTGCCGATTGTTTAGTGATGAAATTAACGTCAATTCTTTAATTATTAATGGTATTTAATAAACATAATGGATGCTCTAACTTCATGGAGTGATATTATCACTAAAAAAAGACACCATTCGTACTAAGATATTTTTTTAATGCTTTAAAAGTGAGAATATCATATTCTTACGGTTTTTCGAATCTCTGTTACAATACTGTAAATTAAAGCCGAATGTTCGAAAACAAATCCCGTAGTTTTTGTAACTTATTAATAAGAAGTAGCCTGATTTCTCGTGCAATTTGGTGTAAACAAGTGCTTGAAAATTGCATTCGCCCTACGACTCAGGAAATTTTGTTGTCTTTGAAGAATTCACCCGTACTTATTAACGCTGAATCGCCCTCGAAATAATTTTATTGCCTATACTAATCCTCTGAGCTAAAGTACTTAATATCATCGTTGCTTCAAGGTGTGTCACTTCCTTTCCTTTTTTACTGCTTTCATAAAGTGGATTCACTTTTTTACTACATTTTTATTTTTTTGTAGACGCAGACTTCACCTCGAGTATGGATGCACTCAATTCTCAAAGAGATGAGGCTGAGAAACTCATCGAACAACTTAGAACAGAGGCTAAAGCTCGTGCAGAGGAAATGGCGATGTTGAAAGAGGAAGAGGCTAATCAGCAGCGGGAGAAACAGCTCCTTCTGGACGAAGTTCAACAACTTAGCGAGGCTGTTGAACATCTTAAAGATAAGGACATGAATATTGCCAAACTGGAACAGGAGCTAGAGGCTGTGGAAGACATGAAGGTGAAACTCGAACATCAGCTCAAAGCTGCTGGAGACGAGCTTGTGAAGTTGAAAGAAGTGAACGAACAGCTGCAAAGAGAAGTCGAAACTACCAAAGTCGCGATAGCCGAAGCTCCAACTACAGCTGAAGCCTCGAGCACGTTGTTAGGAGCTGTTGGCACTTCCTTCGATGAACCTGTTCTCACTGTTGGAGATGTCGTACCGCCAGAGGAAGTGGAATCAACTCGTGTAGAGATTCAAGAGTCCATTCCGTTGGAGCACTATCCGGTTCAGACTTCTGCCAGCAAAGGAGAACTTGAAGAAGTTACAAGTCAGCTCTCGGATATCCAAGCGGAACTTTCCAAAGTAAAGGCCATGAATGAGAAACTTAAAGCAAAACTACGAGTGTACGTGAAAAGGGAGAAGGTGAAGTCCGAATCGCTCAGCGAATCAGATTCAAATGAGCTTAGAGAAGAAATTGAAAAAGTTCGCCAAGAGAAACTGAACTTAGAAAAAACGGCTTACGAAGTACGAGAAGAAATAGACGTAATCATGCGCCACAAAGATACTGTCATTGGAGATTTAAAAGCAAAGGTTCAGAAGCTTTTAGATGAGCAAAGGCGACAGGAAAACCTTACGGAGAAACTGGAGAAACTCGTAGCACAACGAGATGATGAGATACAGGAGCTGAAAAATCGTTATCAAACCCTCTGCGGAGAGAGAGATACCAATATACTAACTCTTGAGAAATCCCTCGAGCAAGAAAAGCTTACGTATGTGCGGGAACTTGAGCACTGTAAAGACGAATATGAACGAGTTCTTAGTAAAAAAGATGCTGAAGTGGAAATTCTGCAACGAGACATCACCAATGCCAGGGAGGAAATAGAGCTGCTTACGGGCCAGCTTAACGAAGCAAATCAGTCTTTGGAAGAACTGACTAAGCTCAAAGTCGACTTTGATCACATTGTGTCTGGCCTTCGTGAAGATCTTCAACAGGCATTAGATGAAAAAGCAGCCGCTGATCAAATTGCGCACGAGTTCCAAGTCCAGCTTAGAAGAAGCGAATCCTCAACAGAACAGAGTGGTGTTGGGGTGAGGGATGCTGCCATTGAAACCCCAGGGGCGGAGAGGTCATACGAAGATATCCAGCTCAAAGCTGCTCAAGAAGAACTATTCAAGTTAAAGGAAGCTCTGGAGTTATTGAATAAAGAAAAAGAGGAACTTTATAAGAGTTTAGATGCTGGCAAACAAGGTAACGATGAGACAAAAACTAATGAACTTGAGGTGGATACCAAGGACGGAGTGGAAGAGATGGAAGGAGAGTTGTCCGGCCTGTCAAATGACGTTGTTTGGTTGCAAAATGAATTGAAAAAAGCTTCTGTGCTCAATAAAAGCTTAGATGACAAACTGAAGGCGTTGTCAAAAAGGAAAAGAACCAGATCAGATCCAAGAGAAGAAGACAGTGAAGTGAGAGCCGAACTTGAAAGGACTCGAGCCGCTAAACTCGAGAGCGAAAGAAAGGAGCAAGAGCTTCGAGAGGAGCTTGATGACTTTGTCAAAGAGAAAGATACCATTGTTGCTTCTCTCAGATCAAAATTGGAGGTTGCTTTGCAGGAAAACGAAGCAGCTATCAATGAAATCCGAGACTATGAAAAACGGTTGTTAGAAAAAGATTCCAGAGTCCGCGATTTGACCGAACAAATTAAACCTTTGCTTCTAGACAACGAGGAACTGAATAAAACGATGGAGGAGCTTACTAGATTAAATTCCGAACTACGGTCTTCAGCAGACTTTGCAGCAGACGCAAAGCTGGAGTTGGAGAGTAAGCAATTGCTTCTTACCGAAAGAAACCAAAGAATCTCAGAACTTGAGACTCATTTGGAACGCACTGAGCAAGAGCATCAAGAATTTATTGAAGAAATTAAGAGGCAACACGAAGATCTCTTGTCTGAGAAAGAAAGACAATCGGAACAATTAATCACGGAACTAAGAGAGAAAAACAATGAACTGGAGGAAAATATTCACATGGTCACAGAACAAAAAGATGATATCGAAAAAGAATTGTTGAACACTAAATCTGAGTTAGAGCAGGTTGTTCAAGACTCTTTTCCCGTTATTGAAGAGAAAGATCGTCAGATTAACGAGCTCCAAGTTATAATGGATGAAAAGCAGAAAAAAACTGACGAAAGTATTTTCCAGTTGCAAGCTAATGAGAAGGCGTTGCAAGAACGAATTCAAGTGCTTGATGCCCGTAACAACGAAATCAAAGATAATCTGCGACAAGTTCAGTCGGAGCTTGAGAAACGACTGCAGGAGGGGGAAGGACTAGAAGAGGAACTTATGCAGGCACACTCCCAGATTGACCAACTAAATGCTAAACTGTCTGTTGCTGACCAAGAAAAACAGGATATAAACAGGCTGCAAAGCAACTTCGACCACATAATTTCAGGACTTCGTGAGGATCTTCAGCATGCTCTTGATGGGAGAGCAGCAGCAGATGAAATAGCTCACGAGTTCCAGGTTCAGTTAGAAAATTTGAAGAAGTCGTCGCCGGTAGTTTCTGCTGATAGTAACCTTCTGACGCAGGAAAACAACAAAAATGCCGAGATGCTTGAGGCAACACGGCGTGAGGTTTCCGACTTAAGAGCTACTCTCGACATAACGAGCAAAGAAAGAGATGACTTGCAAGATAAGATCAGAGAGTTCTCCATCCAAGAGACAAATATCAAAGAACCTCTTTCGAGCAGTGAAGTAAACTGGAAGCTTTCTGAAAAGGAAGGCCGCGAAAAGGCAGTGGAAGAAGTCATTTTGCAGTCTTCGGTTGATAACCAAGTCACCACCACTTCAAATAGTGAGATCGAAATAGAACTGGAAAACCTGAGGAATGAAATGAAGAGGATCAAAGGAGTTAACGACAAGTTGAAGGCGAAGCTTAGAACCCTGCTGAAAAAGGAAAAAGCAAAGACCGATTCTAGAGATGAAGAAACCAGTTCGCGTGATGATTTACAAGCCGAGCTTGAACAGGTCCGTCAAGAGAAGCTTGAAAGCGAAAAGGCATGTCAAGAACTACGAATTGAATTGGATTCATTTGTAAGACAAAAGGAGAGCATCGTCAACGAGTTGAAAAATAAGATCGAACAGCTGGTAGTGGACAGAGGGAAGAGCAATGGTTTGATTGAACAGTATGAGAATAGAATTGTGGCGAAAGATGGCGACCTGCAAGAGATGAGAGATAACATTGGACACCTTCAAAGTCATAACGACGAAGCTTGGAGGATAGTTCAGCAACTGAAGGAAGAAAATGACAACTTGTACGTTCAACAACAAGATGTAATCTCACAGAAAACTGAGATCGAAGATGATTGCAATGATTTGAAGCGGGAGCTCGAACGAGTGGCTGAAAACCTGACAAGGAAGGAAAGTGTGATTACAACGCTTGAGAATCGCCTTCAGGACACAACAGAAAATTACAAAACAGAACTAGAGGCTACAAGGGTCCAGCATGACGGAGTAATTTTTGAAATACAGAGTCATGCTGATAGACTAGAACGAGAACTTTTGTCCGCCAACAAAGAGCTGGAGCAATTAAAAGGCGAGGTAGGAGAATTAAAGAGAGAAAGAGAAGATATAGCTATACTCAAAGCTAACTTTGATCATATAGTGTCAGGGCTTCACGAGGATCTCCAACGTGCTCTGGATGAAAAAGGGGCAGCTGATCAAATAGCGCATGAATTTCAGGTTCAACTGAAACGACTGCAAAAAGAATTAGAAAAGTCTGAAACGAGCCATAGAGATGTGGCTGTGGAGGCAATAGACACAGAGGCAATAAACGTGCACGAAAGGCTGGAGAATGCTCAGTCAGAGGTCTTCAACCTCAGGGACGTTTTGCAGTCTGTTAACAGTGAAAAGTTGGATTTAGAAGATAGATTAAGACGTCTTGAGGCCACGCTACAAGTAAGGGAAACACCAAAAGATGAAATAGAAAGAGGGGAAAAGGACGGTGATCAGGAAGAGATTGTTTCCAGGGTTGTTATCCAGACTCTAGAGAACGAGCCAATTCAGACCGCAGTGTGTGAGACAGAACCCTTGTTAACCTCACCCCCTTCGCAGACTGTCGCCTCTGACCCTAACGATGTTCAAAAAGTTAAGGATGAGTTATCTAAGGCAAATTCTGAACTGGAGAAGGTCAAGTCGGTCAACGAACGTTTGAAGACTAAGGTTAGAGCGATGACAAGAAAAAACAAAGAGAAAGAAAGCAAACTAGAAACGGGTGATGCGAGAAGCAGCGAAGAACTCATAGCCGAGCTGAGCAAAGTACGTCAAGAAAAATTAGAGTGTGAAAGGGCAGCTCAGGAATTAAGAATCGAGTTGGACACTTTTGTTAGAGAAAAGGAAGGAATTGTTAAAGAGCTCAAAGCGAGAGTACAAAAGTTACTATCAGAGAAGGAAGAGACCAGTAGCCTGGTGGAGTATTATGAAAAACAAATATTGGAGAGAGATGCTGAGATTTCTACTCTCGGGGAGCAGTTTCAGTCTTTAGAGGAGGAAAGACAGGAAATCGACCAAAAATTTTCCGAAAACAGAGCAGAAAATCAGAATGTAAAAGCAGTTTTAGAGCAAGTTCAATTGCAAAAGGTAAAAGCCGAAAAAGAACTGCAACAGGCTAAGCTGCAACTGGAACATCTTCTTCAAGACCAACATCCTTTGCTTGATGCGAAAGACCAGCAAATTGCAGATCTCGAAGCCAAGTTGTTTAACCAGAAAGGTCTGAATACAGAAGAAAAGAGACAGTTGAAAGATCGTTACGACACTGTCATAGCTGAACAACAAAACCACTTGAACAACTTAGAGGAAGCACTTACCTCAGCCTACGCTCAAACTGAACACTTGAAAACACAGGTACAAGAGCTGGAGCGAGAACAAGAAGATATAAATAAGCTAAGAGCAGACTTTAGCCACATCGTGTCAGGTCTTAGTGAGGATTTGCAGCGGGCTTTACAGGGCAAAGTAACGGCTGATGAGATCGCGTCTGAATTCCAGCTAAAACTAAAGCAACTCGACAAGTCTTCAGTGTTGTCAGAGAGAGATGTCAGAGATGCTGGCGTGGTTACAAGAGAAATGGATCTCCAATCGTCTGAGAAAGATAGTGGGAAATTACAGGAAATCATCGAACACCTTAAAGAGGAAAAGGAAGAGTTAGACGACAGAATTATGGGACTTGACGAAGTTTTGCAGGACAGAGAAGGTGAACATCAATTCTGCGATATTTTATTTTCAATTTGGATAAATCAGGCTGTTCTACTTAAAGCTACCGTCTCGATGTTAGGCTAAGCTACTTGTCAAGAAAGAGACCTATCTATCCTATATAAATTGGTGAATTTTCAGAGGTAGTGAGGCCTCATTTGTCTTAAAATTAGGGATTAAATAAAGAATGATCAGCACAAATACGTGGGTGATCACGTGGTCGAATTATCTCATGCGGAAACGCGTCTTGTGTTCTAATACTTTTGTAGGATTCTTATTGTAAGCCGTACACGTGCGAGCTTTGTAATGATCTAGGCGATTCTTGAAGGTACTGTCACGTTGACTGAGAAACCTGTTAAATAATTTAAATTACTTTCCAGTAGTTTCCGCTCAGTAAACGCCTCTTAATCATTCAACAGTAATCATTGTGTCGTCATTTTGTAGTGTCATTGTCAGACAAACCTAGGAAACCTTGCTGTGTTCTTCTTTCATTTAGCGAATACTAAAATGTTTATTTGCTTGAGTTCAGAACAGAAGACATCAGATATAGAAAATGCTTCGGTGAACAATTTAACGGTAATTTACAGTCATATATTGTTTTTGGTGTTTTGTACAGGAGAGTTGGAAGAAAAAGAGAAACAAATTCAAGAACTGCAGCTCCAAATTGAAAAGTTAACGACCGACCTTGCGAACGCTGCCGAGAAATTTAACAGAGACGTTAACCAAGTTGTTGTTCGAGAAGAAGCAATGAGGCGGGAACTACAAAATAACCTCGACGCCAAAACCGAAGATTTTGAAAACCTTCGAGAGCAGTTTACGGCCTTGAAGGAGGATAATGCAAAGGAGGTTCGTGTAATAGATTGTAATGTCTATTAGTAACGATTGCTGGGGGAAATAACACTGTTCTTTGAGCTATGTTTTTATTTTTATGTTGCAGAAGGAACAGCTACAAGGCGAACTCACTGAAAAGCGTCAAATCATAGACAAACTTAACGAAGATCTAAGTCAGTTTAGAAATGGAGTGCAGAATAAGTCTGACGAAGAAAAGTTATACGAGGAGCTCCAAGCCAACTATGAATTACTGGAAAATGGTAACAACAAACTTCGCCAAGACTTGTACATGACAATGAAAGGGAAGGAGAATTTACGAGTGAAATTGAAAAAGGACTATGATCAAATCCTATCGTCCTTAAAGCTGGACCTTGAGCAGAGTCGGCAGCAAAATCTCGAAAAAGAGAGATTTATTCACAACCAAAGAGTAGAAGTTGAGACTCTAGTGAAAGACAAAGAATTACTAGTTGCCAAACTCAGAGACACCTCTGGTGTGACGGAAGAAAACGTTCAGAGGTCTGGGGACGATATTACCGATGGGGATGACATTGTGGGTGAATTGAAGAACGAGATAAACTGGCTCAGAAAGGAATGTCAGGACTGTAGAATGGAAAAAGACAAATTGTATACGAAGTTTCATGAAGTGACAGAGGCTCTTAGAGGAGAACTTGAGAAGTCTCTAGGCGAGAAAGAAAACCTAACTCAAAAAACTGAAGAAACTCTTCATCAAAATAGAGATCTTCAACAGTCGTTAATTGAAAAGCAGTCGGCGCTTACCAAAGCTAAAATCCAGTTTGAACACATTGGAAAAGGCTGGCGAAATGATCTCGATGCTGCAAGAGCGGAGAAAGAGGAGGCTTTGAGACAGCTTGGAGAACTTAGAAACCAGGTAAGTCTGAACACTAATTGATCGATATGCGCTAGAAGAAAAACATTGTGGCCAAACTGTAGATACGTCAGAACGCACTTAAACTAATGAGCGGTAAACCGAGATCCCTTGGGGCATTTAAGTGCCAGGCGTATGCACGTCCCATCTTCAGTGTCGGGGGAATTGCAGCGTGGAGACGGCTGATAATGAAGACCAGGAAGCCATGATCTTGATATATTGAATACGGAGGGGGGGGGGGTGGGGAAGAGAATGCCTGCTTGAGCGACAGAAGATTCAAAAAATGAATAATGTGACGGGGAGAATGAAAAATACAGGAAGAGGTTAAGGGAGGCAAAGAAGGGGAAAAGGATTGTGGGAGAAGGGAAGATGTGGAATGAGACAAAGTTGAAATGAAGATTTTATCACAAGTTAAAATAAAAGCGCGCAACTTTTGAAGTCCATTCGCTTAGTTTAATATTCCCTCTTAACTTGAAATAATTGGTTGTCGGTTACTTTTTAACTAGTCAATTTTTCTATTGACTTTTAGTCAAAGCCAGTCTGTTCAAGAGATTTTAAAGTGGGGTAAAATGCGCAACAATGCTAACATTCAAGGCAAACGTCCGCCTTTTAGCACAAGTGTTGACCATTTGAAATGTTGGATTTTATGATTCACCCCCTTTTTTTCAGAATGTGACTATCGATATGCCTGTTGACGAGGAAGGAGCTTTGGAGACCATAGAGCAACTCAGAGATCGGTACGACACGCTTCTCCTCGTCTGCTTTGAGCAGTGGCAAATGTTTCCTTTGACTAGTTTCATTGTTCAAACATTTACATGAATTCTTGCTAATATACTCATCATCTTTGCTATCAACTTTGCTAAGGAAAATTGACTGTAATTATGACTTAAAACGTCAGTGTGAACTCATTGTTAAGGCTATGTTTTGTTTATCTTTGTGCAGGTTACAAGAGATGGAAGAGTTATACGAAGCTAAATGTCGCGAAGGAGAGGTAAGAAAGCTTTTTCTATCGGGCTTGTCGTGGAGATCAGGTGTCGTGTTTATTGCTATAGTTTCATATCATGGATCATGCTCTGTTTTCCCATTCTCTATTACATTTCCTTGTTCTTGTTTCAAGGTTTCCCTGCAAATCGAAGAAGTTGGAAGCCCTTCAAAGGAATCTCTTACAAAACACCATTACCCTTCACCATATGTCAGTAAGTGGCTCTGTGCGTGCGTTTATAATCATCGTAGAAAGCCAACCTTGATTCTGCCTGGCTTCAAAATTCTAACTCCTGGAATTAGTCAAGGTCGCTCTCCACTTAAAAGTTCATCGTTTCTTGACTAACGAGAGTATTTTCTGTGGCTTGATTTACAGGTCGCCAATCCCGCTCTTTTACAAGCCAATTAGGACGCTATTTTAAACGAGGGTATGTACTCTGGGTCATGATTCACCCACGTGTTTTTGCCGTTTAATGTAATTGATATAGGGGTGGCAACACCTATTTATTTGAAGGTCTTGAGTCTAACAAATTTGCCGAAGTTTTTACATCCAACTGTGTTGAGTTAGGAACTATTTGAATTCAGAAAACGAAAGGAAGGAAAAAAGACATGAACTAAACCACGAATTTGATAACTCAATTTACCAAAGTTTTTAGATCCAATTGCGTTGATTTCGAAACTTTCCGGTTGCCACTTACACGTTAAGATATGAACTACACGAAAAGTCATGAAAAGACATGAACGAAACAACTTTTGAGGATCATCTCATGTGATATTTTAATTGAGGTTATTTTTGTTTCATATGCAGATCTTCTCTCTCCTTGGGCAGGCCCCGTGGATTCCGAAAGGCAGCCCTTGCTTTGTACTTAGTTTCTCTCCATCTGTTAGCTTTTTTGTATATATTTCAACTATTATTTTAAGATTTAATGAGTATGTTGTGAGGAGTAGTAATCAAATTTTAAGGATCGGAATTCAACCTCACGTCAGACAAATAGGTGTGTAGTAACGTTTTAGCTCACGGATTAAAGTAGTATCGGAAACATGCAACTTGATAGTTAAGACGCCAACTTTGAACTTTAGTGTAAGCAGACCTGCAATGGGGGTAAAACTGCGATTAGGTAGTTGCAGATAGATGTTCAGCTCACAAACAGACGTAGTAAATTATCTTTCGCGTTTTAGATTAATTATTTTTAAGCTGACGCTGTTTCATTTACTGAAGAGCTTGAAAAGCTCGCAATACGTCATCATCGTCATCATCATCACAATTATCGTCGTCATCGTCATTACCATTATCATCAGATTAGACATAATGAAGTTTTAGTCCAGGATGATTGGGTTGATACATTAGTTAATGAAAGAAATAAAAGAAATCGTCGTTATTGATATAATTTTATTTGGCTTCATGGCCGACGTGAAATGTCCCTGTTAAGACTGCTGGTACAAAGATTACGTATTCAAGTCAAAATAACAAATTATCACAACTCCAAATAAGAAGGGAATTTGATTTTTTATGAGGATAAAATTAATGTAAGCATTTAATGTCTGGAATAAAATAGCTCAAGTTAACATGAGGGTGTGATGGTGAAGATGAGCTTATACACTTATGGGTCGCTGTGTTTTATAAAGGTACAGATGAGCCTCCTACGTCCATTTAGTAATTTGCTCTTCTTTGCGGACGGTTTTTATTTTTTCTCGAATAATTTTGTAACCATCGGCATCAAACGCCTTGAAGATGTAAAATTTAACGTGCTTCTGGTTCAGAAACAGTACAATCGCCATGAACATCAGTGAGTTCGTTAGACTGGAAGCTGACAGCGATGTGATGCTTTCCTTTTCTGGCTGCTGTGAACTTGGCAGTGATCTTGGCTTCTTCCTTAGAACCCACAGGGCCCCTATGAATTAGGAACAATTTTCTAAAGTCAACTTAAATTCAGTTAAGTTAACAATAGGGAACCCACACCCCGCATGCATTTTAAGAAGTCTAATGAGCAAGATCACGTCCTGGGAGATAAGATATGGGGAGGCTGCGTTTGCAGACTGCTCGAAATTCTATTTGTTTATTTATTTGGCTATTGGTAAAGTTCGTTCAATTATTTCAGTAAATCTTCCGCGATGAGCTGCGATTCAAGTTTTGGTTGAGGTCATTGCGCTGGCCAATTGGGGAGAGTTTTCCCACATCCCTCTTTCTATTAATGACACGAATACCGGTGCGGCTTGCTAGCCTGAACAAAGTACCGCAGCGACCTGCCAGCTATAGACTAGCATTCCTCGGAGAGGGTCGCAATGCTGCTAGTCACCCAAGGTTGAAAAACCAGGACTCTAGTGATATTGTGGAGTTGGCCCATGTGTTAAGTCATCATGATTATGGAAATCAAATTCTTACTTTTACACTCCAACCTGCTCTAAGTGCCTATGGGTGCGTGTTTTCAAATTACACGCGGACATAACTTCTGCTGAATGGCTGTTACTTACTTGCAGTCGACCACAAGTGACTTGGGTTTCATACGAGTGGCTTCCAGATGGAATTGTCCTTTTGTTAGGGGTATTGGCAAAGGGTTCGTGAATGACGCGGTTACCTCAACTTCTTCACCAATCTTCACTTGCGATGACGATGCCTAAGTGAAGAAACAAAATTAAAAGTGTAATACCTTCGAAACTCAACATTGGTTGAGACTACTGAGCGAGAATCCAAATTCTGCGATGGAAATGGCATTAGGACAAAAAGCATTTAACCCGCAGCCAAATCCTTGCAGTGTTGATAACCCACCGTAACTTCCAGCGCGGGTTTGGTGAGCTCCACCACATCCTGAGCAGCAAAGGACTGACCTGTCTCCTCCACTAAACCCTTAACGTACAACTTAATGGTGACATCCGCTCCTGTCTTGGTGATGTAATCTTTGGGTTCAATTTTCAACTCTAAACGTTTCTCTGATGAGAGAAAATTGAAATGTTTACTTATACGGAAAGTTATGGGTCGTGGAGACATGTTTGCTTCTTCGTCGAACTCACTCCACACGAGTATAGAATATAAAATGGGGGGACCAGTATTTTTTCTTGAGTTGCTGTAGCATGAACTCTGTCCCGACAAAAATTACCCGCACCCACCCAAGTTATCAATAGAAATGGTAGTGAATTTGTAAGCTAAGACGATAAGCTTCATTATTGTAGGACTTTGCTTGGAGGCTCCAGGATAGCAATGTAATTATATTTTTGTTTCCTTGGCTCATGCACTATTTCGATTCGACATTGCTCATTCAGGCAGTATGTAGCTTGCATGTCACATAACTAACCCTGTCCAATACTTGAACTCTCCAAGAGTTTCCTGTAGCTCAGAAATACTTCCAAGCATCCGATCGGTTAAACTGTGGGTTGAACTTCGTCCCACAGTTATAACAAATTATTTTCACGTCTTTCACATTTTTGCGTACTTCTACAATCCGTGAAAACTTACCTGCTTTGGAGTTTAATAGGAACTGAAGCTTGTATGTTTTCAGTTTCTTAACAGGAACATCAGTGTAATGACTTAAGACAGCTGTAAAGTTAACCTTGATGTTTCTCGTATTTTCTGACTTGTTTTCCACGACAACGGCAACGTCAAAACTGTTGCCCATGTACACAGTGTCTCGCACGTCGAGACGAAATTCAACATCCTCGCTTTGATATTGGTAAATTTCGTGTTCGGTGCGGCTGCTAAACTGGAAGGCGTATTTGACAGCATTCCTCTCTTCTTCAGAACCTGTTATGATCACACGGGTGTTAAAATTCCTCAAATACTTAAAATCAGACTGGCTAACACATTTCCTGCCACATGTGTGACCGACAAATCCAGCGGCTGTCTTGAATGAATGACCGACATTTCTGACTGAGTGGTTCACTGACTGACTGACTCACTGGCTCAATGAAAGTCTGTCTGCCTTTCTTCCTACATTTCTTTTTTGTGCCTAATAGGCAGGAATAGAAGACCAACCTTCAGGATATTTATAATCATGGGTGATGTCCTCCCTTTCTTCGGATCCGACAGCCTTCGTGCTAATCGAGTTTCCAACATACTTCTTGTCCACGGAAAAAGCTTTCATTGAACCATCAGATTTCTTGACATTCCAGTAAACACGATCGCCGTTTACTTCAGCGAACACAAAAGCAGTGTCGTAAGGAAGGTACACTTCTCCTTTTTTAACCGCTTTTAATGATGCAGGACCACAGCGAAAGACACCTGAAACAGATGAAGTAAATCAGTCTCATGAAAAATATAACTTTGAAGCATAAGCACTCACTTTCGAAAAAAGGAGTTATCATATTTTTTGCCGGGAATTAAGGGCATGGCGAGGTGGCTCTGAGCCTGAGATTTATATCAAATCCTCCTCCCAGCACTCTCTTATATCTGCGCTTTGTACATCGCCAACTGTTGTGCCCCCAATCGGTTAAGAGTCTGGGTTCTAATACCGTGTTATTTCAAGGTTGACCGTTAAGACAAACCACATGAAAACATTTTAAATTGTCCAACATTCAACTAAAGAGTAAATTGCAAATATACGTGAAATCTACGCAATGAACTTATGTGCATTTCATCGAAAAGTCATCGGATACTGTTATCTAAGATAAAGCTTTGTAAGCAATCGTAAAAACAATAATGGAATTTGGCTTCAAAACCGAAGCTGGGAGGTTACATGCATCAAAAGAGTTTAATAACCATGCCCACTACTATAGAAGTCTACAAATAAAAATGTTATCGTTTGTTTCAAGCATGGGACAAAGAAACAATTTTGAAATTTTTAGAAACATCCAAATATAGGACCCTCCAATTTCGAGTACAGAGACCTCGATAATATCATAATCTCTGACTATTTGTTCATGACTAGCGTTCGGTGCGATGCAAGGATCAACAATGTCGAATTAAGAACCTGACATACGGCTTAGGTCAACCAACGGGTCCTTTATGACTCCGTGGTGAAGCAATCGAGAGCCAGGCATAAAGTTAGTGGTAAAGTTCCTTTACTGCCTTACCTTCACTTGTCTCTTGGGGTGTGGCATCATGCACCTGCCATCCATCATGACCATCTGGCAAATCTGGACGCTTGAACCATGATTCGTTCCACACATGGTAGTTCCTGATTGAATGAAAAAAAAAAAGGAAATCGATTTGAGGAGTTACTGCATGCAAACCAGATCAGTATTCGGTGTGTATGATAGATACTACCGATTTGAGAGATTCTTGATCTCGACTGGAGGAGGTATAAAGCACTGTTTGCATTGCTAATCAAGCATATCACTGTCTCCAGGTTTCCACAGCATGAAGAGATTAAAGGTATCGCCAACCTCCCTGGATGGGATATTGGTTAACAACTTCCGGGTTACCTGGAGCATTTGGTCAAGTTTCAGTAATAGTTAGCTGTAACCGGCCTATGATTGTGGGACCGAGTGAGGTATTATGGAATAAACATTGAACTGTCCAAGAACACTATAATCTCTTTAAAGATACAACTGCGCGTTGCTGAAGTTTTTGGTTACCATAAGAACAACGCTTATATTCTAGACTATAGATGTATCTCTGGTCTTCAGAGTAACCTATCTATACACTCACTCGTTCCTAGAAAGGGCACGCTACTTTAAAATCTATGAACTCAATATTCCTTTTCTTTTTTTTCTCCCACGCTCCAATCTAACCACGAAACCAAAAACTTAAATGGAAGTCTGTTACTACGCTTACAACCAGAAGCAGCACATACCACACTGAGTCGTTCATGTGAGGGATGAGATCTCCCTCCTCATCAAAATGATAATCGATCGTCATGCTGCCATCACAGTCGTGAGCGGAATCAAAATTCGTCACGCTTCGAGTTGGGATTCCTAGCGCCCTCAGTACTGAAACAATAAAGTAAACAAAAATATGTTTACTATGGCCCCATGCCTGCTGATATCATATAATACGTTCTGGCTTAATTGAGCCTTAATTGTTTTGATCTGCTAAACCTTAACTTCCAACGCCCGACACCATGTTCAATTTTCTTGAAGAAGTACATGTATAAAACGATATTTCTCAAGTACTTATCAGTTTTTTTCGCTTTCAGTTGTGTGGGTTTTACTTTCAAGTGCAGAGGGGAACTAAGGGTCTTACATTTTCTTGTCTATGGTAGTCATAATCTGTACCAATCACAACCCCTAGCGACGGCGACGCAGTGGAAAACGTCGGTTGCAAAATGAATTTATATTTTACCCACGAATCTCGCGATACTCTGAAGTCGTATAGTTTGTTTCTCGCTGTCAAAAATATCTCGAAACTGAATATGCTACACGGCATAAATCAGAAATAGAAATTTAAAAAATTAGCCGTCGCCGTTCCCGATCTCCAGACAACGCACCGTTTGGTCATTTCATGTTGTTGTTTCGCAGAGGTCACAAAGAAATTTATAACGATTTATGACGCGCGTACACAGTCATTTTTCTGCTTATTACACCTTTTGCTCAGAAGCGTTGCCGTTGCCGTTGCCGTCGGGATTTTCTTTAACTCCCTACTGCAAGCCGAGCAAAGCGAGGAGATCTGACGAATGTTAGAGTAATTACAGAAAGAATGCCGAAGTATTTATTATACATCACTGTAAAATTCTCTTACATGCTGTTACTAGTCCAGAGAACACCCAGCATTGTCCGTATCGAACAGTCGTTTTCGTTCTCCAGAACTCTTCCAGAATGGCAGTGCTTCCAGTCCAGGCCAGCGGTGGTGTTGTTCCTTCAGGGAATGTATTGGACCAACGTCCAGACAAAATCCCACCGTCCTTGTCGTTTGAGTTGACCTGGGGAAGACATCATCCACATTTATTTATCTAATTTTCTTTAACGGTAATGAGGTTTTCATAACATTAGCTATGATTTTTCTAAGTAAGTATTAAAGCGTGCACTGAGGCAAGTATTTTGACTCACCATTGCTGATATTGTACGCACAACATGGATTGGGCTGGATCGCGCGATACAGGAAAGCTCAGCTTTATCCAACAGCCACAGTGCACAATTCAAGGCAACATCCTCAAACTAAAAAAAAATGCTTAAAAATATATGTCATAGAATAACATACGAGGCAATAATAAACTAAAATATAATAGTCAGTGTCATCGGCAGTAGCACTTAGTTTGTCAATACTTTTTCAACCAACCGAAACAGGTTATTTACAAATCTCACCCGCCATGTGTCTGTCCATATTTACCATTTTGGCGTTAGCCAGCTAAGACTTATTTACTCTTCTTCATATGACACCTGCAATGTGGGATGGTGAGAAGTGATATTAATTCTTACCTGACCGAATGCCCAAGGAATTTTTTTGAACTGCCCGGAAATCCCTCTCCATATGTAGCCAAAATCCTCCATGACATATTCATTATGATGTTCATTATTTTCCATGAAGACTGTATCGTCTACCATATGAAAAAGAAAGTAAAGTTTGGTATCCAATAAAGTCTCATCAAAATCTCAAAAAGTTGAAATAACTGTAGGAAGCTGTTGCTCTTTAAAAAGCTAAACATACTAAAAGAGCTGAGCTATCTACGGGGAATCTACAGGGGTTCTTCGTGTACTTATACCCGTGCGAAAAATAACCATTTAATGAACATACACAAAACGAAGCGCCGGGAATCAACTGTTCTCACCAAAGCTTCGCCCTTATATTCTTTAATCATGGGAGAATTTTAAGCTGCGTAATTTCATATCCTTCTATCAAATCTATTGAGCAGAATTTACCTATAGCATGTGCAAGCTAGCTAGTTGCTTCATTAAAGGTGAGATGCAATTCTGGGTTTCTAACGTTAACTTTCGTCGGAACAAACTTTCTTTGAGTAGGAGTAATGTTCGGTAAGAGTTCGGAAGTTTGGAATCCAAAGCACCAGAATAGAGTTAACTACTTCAAATGACGCTATAAACTGAAATGAAGAAAAAATCACCCGAACACCAAGGATTAAAGAGTACACAAATCTGCTCCTCGACTTTGTGTCGAAACAAGGAGTCATCTCCAGATGAGGCTGTGCTGTTTGTCTCGATGAGTACGTCATATCGACCAGTAATGGATTTTGCTGATGACATGATTGACAGATGGACTGTGTTTCCACTGGCTTCTTTGACCTGCATTCCCCACTGATTTGTGGTGAGGCGGTCTTGAATTGACACCCGTATGATCGATCCTTTACTTTCCTGGGGTCGTTTTCCTGAAGAGGCGCAAATAATATTCAGAAATACGTGAAATAGCTACGTTAATGATAAACTGCTTAATCAAAACCGTAACAAAATTCTCGAACGTGATTGGTTATCACCAACCCGATTTGAGTTATCTGTTGTTTTTCTTAATGAAAACGTATGATCGATGAATAGTTTCCTTCTCGAATTTTGTCATAGTTTTGATTAATTGGTAACAGGACTTCGTGTCGTCCAATTCTTTCTGTAATCATACTCGTAATTCACAAAATATGATTACAGACTGAATTGGGCTCCACTCAGTCCTATTACCATTATTAATCAAAAGAAAAGCAATATTATTTCTTGAGAGAGGGTGAACAACGATCGCTGATTAAGTCATAAGCATTTAAATGTGATCAATCAAACAGAAGCTAGAATATACATTGAAAATGCTTTACCTGTAACAAACTGTACAACTATGACGTCAACTTCCGGGTGATAGTCTCTGTTAAAAGTCACAGTGAAGTCAAACTCCTTTCCTCGTCTGACTATCAATTGTGGTATCTCGTAGTCATCAGTTTTATGAGCTGTCCTGTTTTCTTCGTGGTGAAAATCAACTGTCACAGGTTTTAACTGGGAGTCTGCCCCTGTCGGAAAAAAAAACAGCGAAGAGTAAGGAGGTGGCAGAGTCAAGTGATGAGAAAATAGAATTGCGAACTTCGTAACTATTATTTGAATCACAGAAATACCCTGATAAGTTTGTTCATCCATAAAAATTCTCCCACATAACATCTCGGTACTGGTATTTTATCAACGCTGTTTGACAAAGGATCAGTTTTTCCCGTCTCCTTTCAGTCCTGCGACAAAGGGGTCTAATAAAGAAACTTTTTAACTGCGCTTTGGGATACAGACCCATAAGTACACAGAGGAGGGTCATAACAAGCCTTACTCTAACTTTGATCAATAGAAATCCTTAAATCCTTGAAATTACCGAACAGAAAATCTCTCAATCCTCAATCCTGTACCTTGCTTGTCATTTCCCGTGTCAATCCTTAAGGCATCATTTCTCTCTCGGAAATCTCTATCAGATATCAGATTGATCCTACCGTCCAGTCCCTCTCCCAGACCAGACTTGGAGCTGTTGTTTGAATTCTCTCTATCATATCCAAATTTAACAAAAACATATGACATAATTGAGAATAATGGTACATGATTACGTTAGCACCATTATGCATGAAATAATCTCGTAATTTATGCCCTGCTCGTGACAAGGAACTTCAAAAATTGTTGCAAGGAGACTCAGTTCATTTTAGTTGACAGTCACAAAACTGATAAACGATGAGATATATAGTCTTTTAAATACTTTTCATTCTTACACAAAAAATAACACGAAGTTTAGCATCAAGTGAGTAAGTTTCCTGCTGTTCAACTAAAGTCCTCATCATACAAGACTATTTCAGATCAGGCTAGTCACCTTGAAACCTGTCAAACCTGTTTCAACCTGTTTATTTTTTATCACTTACAAGGAATTTTGGGATTCATCCGGATTTTCTTCCGTTACCACTGGCCTGAATCAAACAAATAGACCAAAACAAGAGTCATGACTGTTTAAAAACCACTATCTGCGCCCACTGTGGGCTTCTGTCAGTTCTTGCAACTTTAATTGTTGCATAGCGAATGTAACGATAAATCAGC